CTGAAGGACATTGTGGTACTCGGTGGTTTCTACCACACGAGATACAAGAATGTTGGTAGCGGCACTGCATTGACCGGCCTTCCCAGTAGTTCCAATTCCTGCATGCTTGCAAGGCCAGGGGTGTGGTGCATGTGGGGATTCGTGCATTCAGAGAGGATGTTGAACTATGTCCGTGGTGTGTCTGGTATTCGGGGGTGCTATAGGGAGCGGTGGTATGTGGACTAAATGGTATATAGCTGTGGCCAGGGACACTCTCCTGAATTGGAAGCTCGCTGAATCTTCGAGTTGGTGCAGGAGCTAACTTTTGGCTTTGAGTCCAGGTGGATATAGGGACCGGGTGTACGAAGCATTTTGAGGCAACTAATTTGCTGTCTAGCTGATGCCATTCCGTTCCATGGTAGATGCGCTGGCCACTGGCTACTCTCTCTCTGTGAAATTGGAAGTGGTAGGCTTTAACACCCTCCCATGCATACTTCTCTAACAGATCATACAGGTTCATTGTGTAGATAGAGAGGGCCGTCGCAAGATCCCCTTGGAGGCTATGAGGGGCGAGCTTGACCAAGATTCCCGAGTATGCAGCCCATAGTTTAAAGAAAATACTCATTTGGTATTCGCTTTCTTTACCATCTCTTTCCGCTTGTTTGAACTCGATGCCGCCAATGTTAATCATGCGCTGAGATTCGGCGCGCTCCTTCTCGCTTGCTAGCAGCCGGTAAATGTTTGTTGGCTTGAACCGGTTTTCGATTATTTGGACTAATGTCCCCCGTTCGACACCTGGGAATAGTACTTCGATGGTGTCCGCAATGGCAGATGCGTTTTCACTCGCTAGTGGGAGGTGGAGTTGGCTGGGATTATACGTACTGAGTAGTCTCGGATTCCTCGTACTCTCGTGGCCCCACTGGGCTTGTTCTTTCAATTGGGCTAGCTCCACCTCCAGTTCAGCAATTCTCATAAGGGTGGAGTTGGGCTCAAGATCCTGAGCTGCTCGGACAACGTCATTGGCATTGGCAGTATTGTTGATGTGGGAAATTGAGTTATGTGATCGAAGTCGTTGGACAACACGGTCTACTATATCTTCTTCGTGTGAGCGTAGGAGTTCCCGCATGGTGCCTAGGCTGATAGTACGATCTGAGACTGTGGGGGATGATGCGAGTAGTTCAGGTTCGTTTTCAGTCGTAGGGGTGGCAGGTGGTGGTCTTGGGATCTCTGGGGATGCTGGGGGCATGCTGGGTAGTCTCTCGTTGCTCTGTGGAGAGTGACTATATTCGGGGATGCTGGGTTCGGGCTCCACGCTGCTGCTTGCGGGTTCGCGGGTTTCGGAAGTGCGTGGATTACTGGGAGCTGGTTCAGGCTGCTGGCCGTATCGGGTTGGAGCTTGTTGAGTACGTGGATTCTTCCGAATTCCACCTTGTGTTCTGCGCCTGGTAGCTGGTGCTGAGGTCCCACCACGTGTGGTAGCTCTTCTGGGGGCCATCGGATTTTTCTCCTGGTGTGCGTTGAGATGCAAAGATGCGAGTGCAAAAACGCGAGCAGTTAATAAAGAACGTGATCTGTGGGAAAGCTGAGAGTGTCGAAGTCTAGCAGCATTCCTGGCGGTGTTCTAATAGGGGTTCACGGACGCAGTCTCCTGGAGCTATGACCCCGCGATGGCCCAGCAACCGGGGATAGGTTTTGCCGGCCATCTTCAAGACACTATTCTCTTTCCAAACCGACCTCCGTGCGCCTTGCCCAATTGGCGATAGGTTGTCCCAACCTACTATAGATTTTGCCGCATGATGTGGGGAGGGGGGTGAGGGTCTTGAGGTCTGGGATAGAGAGGGAGAGGGGCGTAGCATAGAATTATGGGAAGGTAGAACGTAGAGGGGTTTTCCTCTTAAAGGGATTAAAGGGCGCTACGGCCGATCCAGGGGTTGTTTTTTTTGCGAGATATGATGATAGGGGGGAGGGATCGCTGAATATAAAGTGAACAGCCACACACCCCGTCTAGCGGGCATCGGTAGATGTTGTTATTGGGGTTTAGCGGGCCGTCGGTTGCAACAAGAGGAGTTGCTAGCGCGGTGATAATTCGGATGGAGAAGAGAGCAAAGACGAAGAGAATCAATGGAACGCATCGTAAAGTTTGAACCGTTTCTACATCCGGTTTTAGAGATTTTCTTAATCCAGGAGCTTGCTACGTTGTCAAAGGGGGTGGAGGGGGGAATCTTGGAGCGAGTGAGAATGAGTGCGTGAGGGAAAAGTTGAGGAGATGGGGGGCTGGGACCTAGGCTAGAAAAAGACGCCTATGATATAAAGAGTTTACAAACGTGTAGATTTCTGGTCCACCTAGAGCTTGATATTTCCTACTTTTCCGGAAACCATTCCGCAAAGTCTTCCCGCACTATCCCACCACCTACTCTTTAGAAACAACATTCAGCTGATATGGAAAGGATATAGACACGAAGCCAGCACGGAGTCCCTGCGCCATGTTGTCAAATGCGACACTTTTCCCGCTAGAGCAGAATATTTATGATACAAAAATATACAATGTCAGGTTCTGACCCAATCTTGTCAGGGTGAATTTACTAGGTTTGCTTTTGAGATGATATCATACGGAAATAGCTCACCCACCCCAGACCCCTCTACGGACTATTTGGTGTGCTAAGATGTGCGTTCGTGAATCCGCTCTTCGTAACTTTCCTTGGATGTATCGGTGCAACGCCCGGCGAATACCGATAAAGGAACAACAGTAGTAACATGGAAAAGGAGAAGCATATTGTTGTGGCATAGGAGGAAAATCGCACTGCGAACGCCAGATAATAGCTCCGTCTGTCATAAATCCCATGAGCGAGCTCATCACCGGACGGGTTGATCCACATCTTTACGATCCGACATGGTGGAGATCCTATAGAGGACAAGCCAGGGTGCGTGTACGACGAAAGATTTAATAGCCATGAAACGTAGTGAGGTCCAATTGGGGCGACGCTATTTGCTCCACAAACATACGCTTCTGAGGGACATCTGCATGCTACAAATCTGAGCAGGGACCTGGGAAAGGTTGCTACACTACCGGTACTCAAGTACAGGGTGGGGCCGGAAAAAAGTTCAATATTAAACGGGTGCTGTAGATTCTATTCAACTTTAGACTTCATAGTTATCAAAAAAATGACGAGAGCTCAAGCGATAACAGAGCCTCACGGATTTTCCCGGTCCTGACTCTTGGCCTGTAACCCGGTTCTTGTATCCCCTAGACTATATGTTCAGATGAAACCACGTACGGGCGGTGCCGATAGATAAATTAGTCACCTGGCTCTATTGAGCAAAATTTGGAGAATCTCAGCTCACCCAGGTAAAGAACGCGACCGATCCATCTATCGACCGTCCCAGTAAGAAAAATGGAGGAATATCATACAAGATCTGCACGGTGGGTTGGGTCCAGTAACGTAGACCAAAGGCTAAGGGTTATATGATTTTGTGCTGAATAGATACTATTTCCTTTCCTTACTCGATTAACCTTTGACATTGTCTACGCGACTGAAAATTTTTATCATCCTATCTCCTAGCTTGTCCGAGCTCGTTCGCCATGGTATGCTCTTTGCTATGAATTGCTAATTCCAGACGCAGATAGATTGTGCCAGTACTGTGTACTAGTACAAAATATCCCCCAGACCCACGGTCGCTGACTCAGTCTGTGAAGTATATAGGCCAAAGGTCGAGTTACCGGTATATTCACTTTTATCGAGGCGCAACAATGAGACTGACAAAAAGTGGATTGAGAGAATCTTAGAGAATAGAGAAACGCATATGAGTATGAGAATAATAAGCGAAAAAGAAAGACAGAGTGAATGGTCTTTTATAGAGAGAAAGTCGGCGAAAAACACAGGTGCCGGTGGAAGAGAAAACCAAAGTATTACAAGATGAAAGAAATCCACCACACTCCCTAATCATCAAACACTACTAACATGAATCCAGCGTAGATATCCAGTATCTGCTCCCATCCGTTTCATCCCCAAATAATCTGTGTTTGCACTGTATATGGTCAAATAGATATATGTTTTCCCAAACACCGAAGGTTGCTGCTGCGGTCCTCGAAACACTAGACCCAGCCATAGTACGTTCCAACACAGGCATTACTATTGATACTGGATGGCACTCGTAGCACAAATTGCGGGAGAGTGCGGTAAACTCCATAAGGGCGATGGAGTTACTGGTATCATAGGAGCTGCCGGAGGTGATAGCGTTATTTGTTGGAGAACTCTGGAGGGTGAGGATTCGGATATGATCTTTGTCATGGAGGATCGTAGGGATGTCCTTTCCTTTGTTGTCCAAAATTTGTGAAAAGGCAGAGGGTTCCATACCGAGCAGGAGATGGTTTTGGTGTTTCTTATCTTTGACTGCAATTAACCCTGTTTTTCTCTCCGCATACAGTACCGGTACTGTACGTTAGATAGAGCGAAGTTTAAAGCGACCGCGGCCCTCTTGTCCTCTCATCCGAACAGATCATCTTTCACCATCGTTCAGTGCGCACACTCAATACCGCTCACAATTACACACGGCGATTGGGGAGATTCACTCTTTAGGCAAATTTGTTTTGTATGGTATCTTGGCAAGCCTATTCCTCATCATCCTGCAGGCTCAGCCAGTTTTACGCAGGTGTCGCATTCACAGTGACGAATAACATTGCGAGAGAACAAAACCCCAGAGCCTACTCTAGTATCGTAACCCAAGATATCCCAGCAACCAGGGAGAGCTACAGGCTTTGTTTGAGGGCAGGAAAACTAGCTAGTCAATCACCGTCCTAGACCAGTATCCAGTAATATCAAAGATGGGCGTGAGTTGTATGTAGTACAACAGGCTCAACGGATCCCTGCCACAGGCTCGTTTTCATGGCACATGGTTGGTTGGAACGAGGCATTCTGTTCGCATCGGGCATAGCCATACGCTCTGTAAAAAAGGCAATTATCTTCTTCAAAAATTTTAAATACCAACCAGTTCCCCCGTCCCCTCTGAGCAGGATTTTGTGAATTTCTTGGCAAATTTCCAGCGCTTTAGAGATGCAAATGGATTCTTCGTGAGTTTTTTTTTTTCTTTTTTAGCTGCTAATTGGGGTACCTCTATAGACCGGGCCTTAGACACCCCCACCATTCAAAAACCTTCCAGCTTGTTTTGACCGATGCCGCAGGGATTGCCCAGCCACTCCCTGCAGAGCTCGGGCCACTTCCACTTTATTTAGTTGATGATTTCTACTGCGTTCTTGGCCCATCACTCGGCCACCCCGCTCGCCAGAGCCACGCAAGCGGATCCACCAATAGCACCCTCGCTTACGACTGCATCAATACCTCCACCACCCAAACGCCTCCCAAGGAAAAGGTCTTTTGTGGATCAAGCAGATGTTCAGGAAATAGGTTTACATCCCCTTCCATTACATGTTTACCCCCTGTTTCAACTAACCCGGAGAAGCGGTCCACACACTTGCTCCCGTCGCTCCTACACTTGTAACGCGCCCGATTGTTCCCGGCGAGACCCGTTCAAGACGAAGCAGGCGCTCAACCGACACTACGAGGTGATACATCTTGGTGAACGGTTTGACTGCCCGGTTCCTGGATGCGAGAACGTTGGCGAAAATGGAATCAAGAGATATGATAATCTAGTTGCTCATATGAGGAACAAGCATGGGGTATCGCCAGCCTGAGCGTCGCATAGTAACTAGTTAGTTGATCTGTTGAGCCACACACTGGATGATGCTTTTTTGGGAATCACTTCTTGTGATATGGATCTATGGTAGTTTTTGTTGTTTTGGCAATTTCTATGTGGTGTCAGATTGGGTTGTGTGCGTAGCTTGAGTTTTATGTTTAAGTTATTGTTTTGAGTCGATTTGGATGTTTGCACCGCGTCTCCCACCTTGCGTTACCTTTCTTTCTATGACAGCGCCGGTATCCCTATGGTGCCGAAAAGATAAAAGTGGAGCAAAGCTGGAGCGTGGGGATATTCAAGAATGTTGTTTCTGCATGCTTGCCATTGCCTTCCTTTTCCTAAAGAACTAAGAAATTTCAAGTAACTGCTACGGTCATGAGAACCATTTCCCGCAACGTTGGAACTACAGAACCTGTAAATTGATAACTGGTGATGTGCCACGTTATACATGTCTTTCTGTTTGGTTCGACGATTTAATCTGGTTTAGAGAGAAGTCCCCGAGTTCCTTCGGGACTAGCTTAGGGAGTGGTCGGTAGCGAGGGCTCGCCTTGGTATAAAAATGCATCAACACGGGCATTGAACCATAGACAACCAGAATCGAGCTGTGAGACTCCGGAATACCTGTTTTTGGGGCAAAGTAGGTAAAGTAACCAAAAGCACGAGCTTTCTCCACACCCCACTATCGTGTCTTTGTTATTTCGGGTGTGTTATATGTCCTATGGGGGAGTAGAGTAGGGGATTGAAGCATTAGGTGTGCAGTGGAGGAGGGAAAAAATGGGGGGGGATGGGGAACCTGGAACAGTGGTTGGAAAAGTAAACTACGAAAGTTCTTGCGGCTCCTTTGGCATGTATGATACCAGTGAAGCTATACTGCCATATCTCTGAAAATAGTGTCCCTCCTAATACATGCGGAGAGCTAACCCTGAAGAAATACTAATATCATACATAATTTGATGGCGGGTGGTTGTGGCCGCTGTAAATTGGAACTCTAGCAACCACCACCAAGACCTCAAAAAGAACCAAATCCGTTACGTACGGAAGCGACTTCATAGCGGGCCACGCTGTTCAATGGTGCGGAAAAAGCGACCGAAAAATTGCATCCATGATATTACCAGATATTGCGGTATTGCAGGCAGCGGGACAGTCAGCTGCACGGGAGAATCCACCCCCGAGAGATGTGAACCAGATGAAAGCAGCATCTTTTTTCTTCTATAGCACTAGCGGGACTGGTTCTCTCGATAACGCTAGCGGAACCGGTCTCTTTGGATTCCTTCCCAGGCTTCTAGCAATGGAGGTCTTGTAAAACAACTAGTACATACCCTGGAAAGAATGAGTGGTGATGAGCAAGAGGTTCATCTCAACATTGAAGAGCTTTGGGAGCCAACTCGAGTAATATAGTACATAATTCGATTGTTTGAGATTTTCCTATAGGCACACAACCGTCCCAAATCCCTTGGGTTGGTAAGGGATCGGGTTTCCAAGGCTTATACTATTTGCCCTCTAGGCGTTATATACTACGTATATCCAGGTATTGACAGCATTTGAGAAAGGCATGTCGGTAAGTTTACTTCCCATTCATAACATGGGTTTTGGCAGACTCTGTGAGATCACAATCGTATGAACTTTTCAAACCTAGTGACTGTGCCCGGCTTTTTCCGGAGGAGAATATATCACGAGTTGTGAAAGCCAGCAGAAAGTAAAATGTTGGAGCCGATGGAGGAATGTTGTGGGGTGTAGTTGATTGCAGAAGCTGTGGAAATGGTGTGTATTGTTTCTTCGTTCTGGGGCTGTGGGGGGTGTGGAGAGGTTACTCTAAACATGTCTTTCCTCTATTATTAGGAGAGTAAGAATAGGAACATGAACGGAAGGGGATGGGTGTGGATATGTGTGGTGACACATTGAGAGATCAGGATAACTCTATAATGTTTTATTTAATATTATATTCCTGTATTTACTGTTAGTTTAGAAGAAGGGTAGAACTGAGAGAGAACAAAACTTGCGATACCATTCCGCACAGGTCAAGTGCAATTCTCGCCCACTTACCCCACCACTACACAATATATGAGTTCATCCCTAAGAGAAAATAGGTCAGGAAATGCAGGAGGTCCCCTAGATGAGTACGAACTCCGAGCGGTACGGCAACGAACCAAAGACACTCCGGCCACCGTCCAGGGCAGAACAACGGCAACATTGGAGAACAATTCCAAAATTAAAGAGGTGGATCCTCAACCGCATACCGCAGACGCATTTCTTCGAATAGTATCTTGGCAAGTATATCCTTCGGGTGCGGGAGGCTCAATTACTCGAGTAATTTCGTGCTGTTGCCGTATTTTTTAGTGGTGGATAACATTGCTTGAGAGCGAAATCCCCCACCAGCACTCAAGATAGTCCAATCAGTAAGAGCTGCAGGCTTTATTCGAGTATGAGACTAGGAAAATGGCGCTCCGAGACAAGCACCCAGTAATATCCAAGAGGAGCGTGAATGAGTGTAGTACAACATACTCGAGTACTTACTGGATCCCTGCCACAGGCTCATTTTTATTTCGCATGGTTGGTTGGAAAGAGTATCTACGTCCACTTGAGGCTCACACATACACACTGCACTGGGGCAATTATCTTCTCAGAAAATTTTAAATACAGGTGAGTTCCCCCGTCTCCTTCTGACTAGTTTTTGCGAATTTCTTGGCAAATTATCCGCACTTTACGTTTCCAAGATGGATTCTCGGTAAGTTTTTTTTTTTTGGGGGCTAACCGGACCTCAAATATCCTAGTACCCCCGCGAGCATCGACACCCCTACTGAGCACCTTCGCGATAAAACCTTTCAGCTTGTCTTGACTGATGTTGCAGGGATTGCGCAGCCGCTTCCTACAGACCTCAGACCACTTCCTCTTTATCCACTTAATGATGGCTCCCACTCGTACTCTGTCCTTGGTCCATCCCTCAGCCACACCACCCATCAGGATCAAGCTACCGGATCCACCAATAGCACCCGTGCTTGCGACTCCATAGATATCTCCGCCACCCTAACGCCTCAAAGGGAAAAGGTCTTTTGTGGCTCAGCAATATGCTTAGGAAATCGGTTCACACCCCCTCCGTTGCATATTTATCCTTCACATTGACTAACCTGAATAGCGGTCCACACACTTGCTCCCGTCGATCCTACACATGTAACGCACCTGGCTGTACTCGACCTACTCCATTCAAGACGAAACAGGCACTCAACCGACACCACGAGGTGGTGCACCTCGCCGAGCGGCTTGACCGTCCTGTCCCTGGATGCGAGAATGTTGGCGAAAATGGGATCAAAAGATATGACAATCTAGTTGCTCATATGAGGAACAAGCATGGGGTATCGCCAGCCGGCGGATCGCACAGTGCTTAGTTTGTTGATCCGTTGAGCCGCCTGCCCGATGTTTGTTGACACCAGGACTTGTTTCAGATTCATGGTGTCGCAGCTAGACTTGGGAAATGTT